TTCTGGAAGTCAATCTGCAGCAGGTTGCCCAGCCCGAGCAGTGGCAGGGGGCCTGGCGGGTAGCGTGCAGCCCAGCGTTGGCGCCGGTGCATCAGGTCTACCAGGAGCAGGAAGATGGCCACGGCCACACACAAGGGCCCCGTGAGCAGCCCCATCATTTCCTGCTGTCCACTGGATTTGAGAACACCTAGTGTCCCTTGTCACTCCAGGCATCTGGGACCACCCTGTCATCTCCCTAAGTACTCAGTCAGGGCTCTTCCCTTATAAAGGAACTGAGGCTGCCCTGTGCCCTCTGCTGGGAGCCAGGCTGCTCTGATGACTGTGCAGGCAGAGAGTGCAGGGAGGAGCCAGGGCAGGACAGATGCAGGGGCAGCTGCACAGGTCCTTGCCTCTCCTGCCCTCTCCTGGTGACAGCCAGTGGAGAGGTGCCACATAAGCTGGACTTGCTGGTCCTGAAGGGCTGGGTACTGGGGCATGGATCACATGTGGATCTTGGAAATTTCAGTGTGACCTCTCCGAAGTCCACATTCAAGAAGAGGCACAGAAAGATCAGACAGCTGAATGCCATGCCAGGAGTTCTTTGAGGGACATGGGGGACATTGTTGGCAGAGATGAAGGGACTGACTGGCAACCTTCAGACCAAGGCAACCTGGCTGTGGGGTAAGGTGCCACTGGGAAGTCCTGTGTGAGTGGGTGAGGGGTAGCAGGAGGAAGGTGGCTGGAGTCTGAGGCTTTGCAAATTTGGCCTCAGTGGAGACCAGTTTTGAGGCCTCTCAACCGACCGGGAAGGCAAGATCCACTTACACCTGGGGGACTTCTCAGGTCCGGTCTGTAGCCTCCCATTTGACTCAGCTGAGAGTTTCTGCCTAGTTGGCAGCAACTTCCTTCCCGTAACTGTCAGAGAAGCATGGCAGACTGGCAGGATGGTCTGAATGTTGTCACATGGTGGCCTTTGTCTATCCCCTGCTTCTTGGTGTCAAGCCTTCCTTCAAGCAGTCATCCTAATGAGGGTACAAAGGGCAGTGACAGGCTTGTCTGTAGTTCAGGCTGCGTCCTCCTCATGGCAGAGGTCTGTGGTTCAAGATGCGGCAGCCATGAGAAAACCCTGCAGTAAGGAGGTCCATGCTTTCCAATGATTGGCACTTATGTGTCAGGCCCTGCTGGTCACAATCCACATGCTCCAACTTCCTCAGCCACCACAGGGAGGTGGTTTTATGTCCCCAAGGCAGAGGAGACATCGCATAATGAGGTTAAAATCACAATACAGCATTAGGATCCACATCCACACTCCCAACTCTAGCTCTCCACTGTTTTTGCAGGATATTTTGTTAATGGCCAGTACAGAAATTCCCTAGAATTTATTACTTTAGAAAAATACTCCTCCTCCCAACCTGGAACCACAGTGGGATACCTGTCATAGGGTAACATATGCTGAGTATTGACAGGCCCTCTGTCACTGTGGTGAGACCTGGCACCTCACCATACGGCAACAAGGAGGCTTACTAGAAGTTCTAGGCCCTTGTTCCCCTAGGGAGATATATCCCACCAAAGTACCATTTTGAGAATTCTAGAAATCAGGAGACTGTAGTACTCAGCCAGTACAGAGTATTTTCCTGGTCTTTACCCTTCTCCCTGACAGGCATAAACTCCCAATTCCATCCAGCTCCTCCCTGGAGACAGAAAGGAGAAGGTGACTGTGTTCTACCTTCTGGTTTGTCTTTGATACCAGGTGGGCTACCTTTATAGATGCAGTTCCACAGGCAGGCACTGGGGGGAGCAGGAGATTACAGGCAGTGGAATACTCTCAGAAATAAGAAATGGAAAACTCCAGAGATGGACTCTTTGGGAGTTAATGGGTAGCTTTAGTTTTGCAAGAAGAAACAGTTCAGGAGATCAGTTGCACATCTTGGACATACTCAACACTACTAAGCTATCTACGTCTAAAAACAGGTTGATTCATTTCATATGTTTTTAAAAGTAATTTAACCTTTATTTTTATGTGATGCTGAGGATCAAACTCAAGGCCTCATACATGCTAGATAAGTGCTCCACCACTTGCTCCAACTCATGTTGTGTTTTTTACAGCTTAAAAAATATTACTTTTTTAAAAAAGAGCCACTATACACCTCTAAGAATGGCCAAGATCAGGAACACCACCACCACTGAATGCTGGGGAGGATGTGGAGAAACAGGAGCACACATTCATTGCTGGTGGAAATGCAAAATGGAGGAGCCACTGTGGAAAGCAGTTTGGCAGTTTCATACAAAAACTATACTATTCTTACCTTATGAGCCAAATTGTGCTCCTTGGTATCCATCCTAAAACTTAGAATATAGAAACCTGCACTTGAAGTTTATATGGGCTTCATCTGTAATTGCTAAAACCTGGAAGCAACCAAGATGCCCTTCAGGATGTGGATGGATAAACTGTAGTACATCCAGACCAATAGAATATTATTTGTCAGTAGAAATGAACCATGAACACATGAAAATACATGAAGGAACCATAAATGCATATTACTAAATGAAAGAAAGAAGCCAATCTAAAAAGGCCACATAACGTATGATTCCAACCACCTGACCTTCTTCAAGAGGTGAAACAATGCAGACAATAAAAAGGTCAGTGATTGCCAGGGGTAGGGGCAGGGAGAGATAAATAGTTGGAGCAGAGTTTTAGGGCAGTGAAACTACCCTGTGTGAGACCATAATGAAGGATATCTGTCATTATAAATTTGTCCAAACTCATAAAAAGTACACCCAAGAGAGAACCCTAATGTGAACTGTGAACTTGATGGGCAATGATGAGGTACACGCAGATTCATTAGTTCTAACAAATATACCACTTGGGTGGGGATGTTGACAGAGGGGGAGGTTGTGTGTGGGGGGAGCAGGACACTCTATTTTCTGATCAATACTGCTGTTGACCTAAAACTGCTCTTAAAATGTTATATTAAGACACACACACACACACACACACACACACACACACACACACACACACACACACACGCTGACTTCAAAAGCTGCAGGAGCTGGAAGGCACAAAGGCAGCTGAGGTGTGGCAGAAGCTAGAAAAATGGGAGTCCAAAGGGAAATGGGCAACAGGGCCACTCCCTAGCTCAAGGTCATCTCTGAAGCCCAGTAACACTCTGAAGCCCTGCAACACTCGGGAGCGCCTTGGTCACGTATCATCAGCAAATCAAAAGAGGACAAAAGAATAAAAGGCAAAGTGACAAACATTTGCTGTCAGGAAAATATTTTCCTCAAGATACGTATTTTTCAAGTTTTGTGGCTTAGGACTTGACACCCGAAATCTATCAATTTCATTTTAACTGTGTTAATGCGAAGTCAAGACCAGAATGGGAAGCCAACCAGCTCAAAAGCCATCATTTCTATGCAGGTCCTGTTTAGCTGCTTGAGCATGGTCCCAAGGCTGACACAGCACACCCACCCACACCTCCATCCTGGCAGAGCAAAATGAGAAATGGACCACATTGCTTGATATGGCCATTAAAATGAAATTAATCTGCCATTTCTGCAGTCCCAAATTGATGAGCACACAAGAACTCATTTATAATTGCTTATTTCTACCTCACAACATTCCTTCCAATATTTCTGTTCTCTAAAAAAACCTCCATTAACATTATTTTTTTATAATCTTTTAAAATTAATGTTCATTAGAAACATGTCCTTATATCAACTTGAGGAACTCTGTCTGTCCCCCCACAGGTGGCAAGTTCTACCGCCTGAGGGAGTGGCCCAGTGGATCCCTGGGCTTTGGCTGGTTTCAGGCTCTGCTGTAAGGCCTGCCTGGCCTTTGAGAGGTGGGGGGTTGAAGGAGCCAGGTCTGATGGTGGCCTCCTCTACAGTAGAACCAAGATGGGGGCTGGAGTGGGAAAAGGAAGAGACGCATTCACTTTATAGTAAATGAAAAAGGAAACAAGGTTAAAATGAAGTTTATTATTTTTTGATTTTTTTTGTTTTTTGTTTTTTTAAATAAAACTGTTTGTGAAACAGCTATTTTATCCCCATGGCAGAGTGACCCCTGAAAGATGCACTAACCCCTTCTTAAGGCCTTAACAAGATTTTTTTTTGTACTTTTTCTTTTTTTTTAAACTCAGATATTTAAAAATTATACAATTTACAAAACAAAACAAAACAAAAACATAATCACGTAGCATAGGGCTGCTTATCTGACAGGCCCCCCTTTTCCATTATAAAAATAGAAACAAAAAGAAGAAAGGGCTAAGTGGGTGTTCCTGGTCAGCTTACCCACCCACAACTCCCACAGAGGCTCCCCCCCAGTCCCACTGCCTGTTCTGGCACAGAGGTCCAGGCCTCCTCCCGTTCCCTGGGTCCCCACGTGTCAGGAATGCGCCCAGCACAGAGGGCCCCAGAGGAGGGTCCGCTGCTGGACTTTGCTGCTGCGGGGCTGCTCTGCCCACTTGATGGGGCCTTAAAGAGATCTCACCAGCCACAGTGACCCAGGACACAGCCTGACTCAGGGCATCTGCCAATTTCACCCCCCAAAAAGATAAAAATTTTAAAAAATAATAAATAAATAGTGTTTCTGGAAAGGAAAAAAATTTATTTATGTTTAAACATCATTCCCCCGCTCTTGAAACATGGACCATCCCCACCTCCCACCCAAAACCTTCCCACTTTGACACAGACTACGGACAAAAGGACAGTTTGGGTGTGGCTTGTTGGCTCTTTCCGTTGGGGTTAGGGTCTAGTGTTCTCTGAACTGGTGTGAGACAGGCTAAAGATTAAAGCCACACCCCCGTCCTTTATGAGATGAGTTTGTTCAGTTCAATTTCACATTTCAATTTCACTGTCATTGGAACAAATTTGGAGTTAACTAGATAATTTTAAAATAGAATCAAAAGGGATAGCGCACCTTTCATTTAAACAAAGTCTTTCCAGACTAAAAATAGATTTATATATATATATTTTTTATCCCTCCCTTTTATTCCCCCCCCTTTCCCCATCAGCCCCCCTCCCCCCTCCCCCCACATTGTCACTATGGAGATTGTGTCCATGGAAACAGCCATTCCAACATCTTGGGCCTTTCTTTCCTGTGGTGTCACTGGTTTGAGTGTGAGGTGAGAACTTGGGAAGGAAGTGCTGGCAGGGCAGGCACGGCGGGGCGGGGCAGGGCAGGGCGTGGCAGCACGGGAGGAGATTTCCATTCCATCACGAGTGTCCACCACCTGTTCATCTCCACAGTCTAACCTGGAAGACAAGCAACAGATGCTGAGCGCCAGGAATTTCTCCATGGTCCCATTGCCAACAGCCCCTGCTCTGTGGTGGCACTGGGATGGGGCTTTCAGCAGGGACCACATGCTCAGACCCCTCTGTAGATGAGCTGTGCCTCGGGACACATCCAAGACCAGTGTGGCACTGCTGTGTGGCTCTGGACCTGGAGCATGGAGGAAGGCAGCACAGGTGCTTGGGCTGCACCCTGAGGGCTTCTCCGGGCACGCCCACCTCCCAGAGCATGGCAAGCTCTGGGGCCCGCGACTGGGCTCAGCTCTTAGTGGCAGGGTTTGGTCCTCAAAATGGCCAAGGGCACAAGGTAGCTGTGACCAAAACCTAGAGCATGCAATTTGTGGAAGGACTTCTCACAACCACTTCACAGCCTTCTCTAGTGGACACAGCCAGTTCTACACACCAACGAAGAACACTTCCCATAGCCTCTGATGGGAAGGACAGGTCTCAGCCCATTTTGGTGGCTTGCAAGAGCTGGAATGTATTAATCCCTTGGCTCCTCAGGACCCTGATGCCTCCAGGAAGAGATTCTTTCCTCTTTAGGCCAGGCTTGGGAAGGTGGTGCTGATGACCAGATGGGTTGTACCAAGAGCCTATGCAGAATGCTTCACCCCACATGCCCGGGTCTCAGAGAATCCAGTTTCCAAGTAATCAGTCCAGAAAAATTATGCCAGAACACAGGGGTGATGGTGGCCTCAACTGCTGCTGTTTTCTGCCTCTCACAGTTCTCTAGCAACTGTGTCCCTGGGGCTCCCCTTGCTTCTGCTTCAAACCTCTCTGATAACCTCCAACAACATAGAAACCCCAGGAAAAGGCAGGTCCCTCTTCTGGTTTCATAACGCTTACTATTGTGCAAAATAGTTAAGAAGGCTGGTGTGTGGGGGGATCTAAGACTGTACTATTCACATGCATGTGTGCATACACCTGTCCTGCTAAAAGGAGGCTCCTAAGTGCTTGACAAAAACCACCACTAAACAGGAGGACATGTTGCAGAGATAGTAGTACAATGTTCATCATGCTGGGATGACAGTAGAAACAAACCCCAGGCCTCTAGCTACCAGGCCCCAGGAATGTGGGCCAATGGTGGAGCCATCCTTCCATTTTCAGAATGTACATAGATGGCACAGCATGGCCCCCTGTATCTAAAGGTGGCTCTGGGCCTCACAGGTCACCCCAATGATCTATGCTTCCTCTACCTCCATTCTACCTCTCCCCAGCAGCCCAGGGAGATTTTCTACCACCTATCTGGCTTTCCTGAGGCCAGGGATGCAGGAAAGGGGAGACAAGCAACATTAGACAAAAGTCCTTGTGCCTTCTCTGATACCACTCCTTAGGGACCAAAGGCCCTTTGTAAATAACATGACAAGGGCTGAGTTAATAGGCACCTCAAGGATCAATCAGAAGGTAATTTTGCTGGGGATCCAGGGTGTCTGTGTGAATTGCCAGATGCCAACATAGCCTCTCCAAGACTCTGCTTGTGGGAAGAAGGCACAGCAGGGTTTGCACTCATAAGTGCTCAGCCCTCTTGGGTCTGCATTCCAATCCTGCTCACTACTCAGCATAGCAGGCCCACACCAGACCCCAAACTCAGAATGAGGCACATTGCAGCATCCACGTCTGCCTGGCCAGCTGGTTCTGTGTTGTTGACCTTGGACCTGCCTCTGGGTGCCAGTGTTGCATAGGAAGTGGTTGCACAGGCAGTGGCAGTCCTTCAGTACCTTCTGCCTCAAGCCTTCCAAACAAGGAGTTTTTGCTGATTAGACTGGCCCAAACACAAGATCTTCTGAAGGTAAAGGACCCTAAACTTTTCCAGAGTTACTTAAAAACAAAAACAAAAACAAAAACTGTTCTTTCAGGTTGGATGCACTCCTGTAATCCCAGCAGATTGACAGGCTGAGGCAGGAGAAGCACAAGTTTGAGTCTGAGCAAATCAGCAAGAGCCTGACTCAAAATTTATAAGTGAAACAACTGGTGATAAGAATACTTGCCCAGTATGTTTGAGGCCCTGGGTTCAATCCCAGGTACTGCAAAAAAACCACACTCTTCCTTTCACAAGGAGAAGAGGAAGGAAGGACTTACTTTGTGCCAGGAACTGAGCTAGAAGCTTAATAGATGTCCTGTCTCATGGTAAAATCAAGATGCCTGAACCTCTTCAAGATGAGAAAGCTGAAGCTCAGGGAGGTGACACCTGTGGTCCACGGCTACATAGCTGGTTGGAGGTGGAAAGGGCTGATAGCCAGCAAAGCTCTCCTGTGTGGGCCCCATGGACTCTGTGCCCCACTGCATGAAATGTGGCTAAGAGGAGAGAGCTGGGCCCCAGGCAGTAAACCCATCATAGCTGCTGGGCCAAGTGAGCTCTCTGACACTCCACGCTGAGGATGGTCAAAGGCACTGTGATGCTCAGCTGCCAGGGCACAGGGTTTTATCCTGGGCCAAAGCTCCTCAGGCTCCCCAGGCTCCTCCACTCTGTGGCTTGAGCCTGGGATGGATGACACCATCTCTGTATCCTTATACACCTGACACTAAGGTTGTTTCTCCCAACTGCAGCAGGCATCCATCAGCTTGACCTGCTGACCCTGTCCAACCTGCCAAGATTCCTCCAGAGTGGGTTACCTCATCTCTACAACAGACACTCGATTCCTACCAGAGAGGGACTGGGTGGACAAGTCTAATTCCAAATTGTTCTTGATTGCTGACAGGGTCAAAGAGTCCGTTCCTCTCTGGGATGCACTCATCTTTAATAGGCACACTCGGCACCACTGTGGGTAGGGCATAAGACTGCAAAGGTGGCCCTGGCCCTCACAAAGCTTCCAGTCACAAGTATATAATGTGACAATGTGGTGAAGCTAGAAAGGCTGTAGAGTGGGGAAAGAGGGTGTTTTAGACTGAGATTTATAAAGGGAAGGCTTCTGAGGAAGAGGAACTTGTAATCTGACATCCAGAAAATGAGAGGGAGCCCCCACATGGAGACAGGCAAGCAAAATGTGCACACGCAAAAGCCTAGGGGGAAGCAGCCTGGCCCTGAGCAGACCAGTGGCTGGGAGCCTGGAGAGCCTCTTCAGTGACTTCCACCAGCCTTTGGGAGAGAGGGCTAGGAGGCAAATGCGACAAGAACCTCCGAAGAGGAGACTGGCTGGATCTCTGATAAGATAGAACTGGAGGCCAGAGTTTGCTGAGACTGACCGCTGCTGTGAGGCAGGGCTCTGGGCAGAGCAGGTGGCCACTGTAGGGGTGCCACAGCCTGGCTGGTGCCAGTGGGGAAATATGGACAGACTCAGTTTCTCCTCTGGAGGAGGAGAACCCAGGACTTCCCTAGATGAGCCTGAGAAGGGAGGGAGCTCCAGAAAGAGCCACTCACTCATCCATGGACAGGCTATACAATGCCCAGCTCCAGGACAGAGAGGGTCTTGCCCTTTCCCTTCCATGGAGGGTCTGCAGAAGGTGTGTAGGTAGGTGGCATCCTCTTGCACCCAGGACAGAGCATCAGTTGGGATATGGTTACTGCTACTCATCCACTAGATCACAGGGCCTGGCAGGAAGCCAGGGGCCTCCTTGTTTACTACATGACAAGGAGAGCCAGGAGTCCCATTGTACAGCCCCATTCTCCAGCTGAGATGAGGCCAGAGAGACAGAATCTCAGAACAAGGACAGTGAGCAAACATAGGCCCACCACACTGCTTTCTCACCTCAGAAATGTTAGGAGGCAGCAGACTAGATGGCTATCCAAGAACCTCTCCTGTCTGGCATTCTTGGCGTGGTGAGAAACAACTATGAGGAGCCCCACATGCTGGGGTAGGGTGTGGAGAATAAAATCTCCTAGCCCCAGCCCTCGTATTTTCTGATAGAAAAGGCAGTTGCAAGGTCTCCTTGCTGCCTTGACCCCCTATAGCTCTAACTGTAAGAAACTTGCAGCCAGATACAGCTGCCTGTGTGCCCAACACTTGCTGAGGTATAACCAAATTCTCATATGGTTGACACTGTTACTTTTTTGGCGGGGTGGGATGGGGGCACTGGGATTGAACTCAGGGGCACTCAACCACTGAGCCACACCCCCAGCCCTATTTGTATTTTACTTAGAGACAGGGTCTGAGTTGCTTAGCACCCCGCTTTTTGATGAGGCTGGCTCAAGATCCTGTCTCAGCCTTTGAACTCAAGATCCTCCTGAGCTGCTCAGATTATAGGTGTGCATCACCGTGCCCAGCTTGGTTACTTCTCTTTTTATAGAAGAAACTGAAACATGGAGACAATAAGTGTCCTTACTCCAGTCACATAGGACTTTCCAAACACTTTGTGTGACAAAGTGGGATGACAGGAGGCAGGACACAGATGCACACCCCATTGTCCCTTCCCTGTCTGGGTCCCCAATAATGGTAGTTCTTTGTTCTCACCATGGACCCCAAGGTGAGCACGCCTTAAGAGCAAGAGTATTTTCTGTCCCTGATCACTGGGGTTTCTACACAATTCAGCAGTACACCCTGGGCCTGAAAGATGGCGATCGCCCTCAGTATAACTGCTGAACTGAGAAACCAGTTAAAGGAACCTGTCTTGTGGGAATGGCCTATGGAGAGAACATTTCAGATCGATGAGGCTGGGTGCAGTGTCCATCCTTTCTCTCAAGAGGTGACTGCTCCAACCTCAATAGACTGAGGTTTCCCAAGAGATGGACCAGGTCCTGCACTCAAGCAGTGCTGCAGCCTGGGGAGGATGGAGGGTGAAGCTGACTATTCAGCTCCAGAGCTGAGGCCTTGTCAGCTGGGAGGTCCATGCTGGGCCCACCTACCAGGCCCAGACTTTCTTTTTCTCTAACACATGCTGGAATTCAGGACAAAACCAAAAAGTGCTAAATGACAAATGGCTCTTTCCTTAACCAGCCCTTCTAGGACACATTTCAGAAATTTTTCTCATGGTCTTCCACAGAACTTGACTCTAACTATCTGGGACAGGTGCATCAACACGGATGTGTTGCCTCGGCACAGCATTATCTCAGCCCAGAAAAGGGCCGATGCAACAGTTGTTAAACCACCCACACTGCTGCACACTGCTCTGAGGGCTGATCAGAGGGGTCTAGGAGTACAGGCAGGAAGAGTAGCCCAGTGACTTCTAGAAGTGCAGTAGCCGATGAGGACGACTTACTGCAGTCCACAGGGCTCCGTTTGCTCATTTGGTTCCTGTGACCCAAGAACCAATCACCTCTCCTGCTCTGCTCTGCTCCCTGCATTGCCAACCCTGCTCCCTGCAAGAGGCAAAGAGAAAAGCATTACAGCAAAACACTCAGCACCCCAGTGGGAAGCACTGGGGAGCCCCCACCTGGGCCCTGATCTATTTCACAGCAGGGCCACAGGGGCCTTCTCTAAGGTCAGCACTGGGCACTGCTTAAGAAACAAACACCTTCTCTAAGGAGGAAAACCACCATATTCTGGGATGAACTTGACTTCCCTCATATTACTATTGGTTATTTTAGAGAAAGGCAGAAACCTTTTTAGTTGTAACTCAGGATTCTACAGAGAACATTCAGGGATGTGGTACTGCCCAGAGGAATGGTCTCTGTGGCCATGGGGGTGAGAGTCCTGGAGGCCACACAGAAGCCTCCATTTAGAGAGAAATGAGCCCCTGGAGAACACCTCTAGGACAGCTGCAGCCACGAGTGCCAGCTACATTCCCTTCTCCTTTCTCCTCTTTATATACTACTGGTCCTCAGCCCTCAGTGGCTGCATGGGGCAGGGAGGGTGAGAAAGCAATGTGGCGGAGACACCCTGTTGTAGATCCCTCAGCCCTACACCCCATTTTTCACAGGAGCAGGCTGGCCATGCCCTACATGCTCAACGGTGCAGCCAGATCTCTGGAGATTTTCAAGAGTAAAATTAAATCAGATGCTGAAGTCTACTAAATCTCTGAGAGGATTTTCCTTCTCTTTGTACTTCTGCGAAAAGGAATTTTTCATGGTACTGTGGGAAAAAAGATTTCAAGTAGGAAAACTTAGAGAATGTTCTGTTTTTCAAAGGAAAACATACTAAAAGCTTTACAGAAACACGGTCAATTGAAAAGAAGAGACCTTTGGTTTCACCCTTGAGGAGAAGGAAACAACAGGCAGATGGCAGAAGTCCCCTGCCCAAAGGGTCATCCAAAAGACGGTCACAATGCCCTCAGGACCACCAATCCTGAGGCCTGCTCCCCAGCAGTCCCGAAGGGCTGACTTCAGAAAGTCACCCTGGGGCTGGGGTTGTGGTTCAGCGGCAAAGTGCTTGCCTAGCACATGTGAGGCCCTGGGTTCGATCTCAGCACATAAAAAAAATAACAACAATAAATAAAATAAAATTATTGTGTCTATCTACAACTAAAAATATTTTTTTAAACTTTATTTTATTTATTTACTTTTATGTGGTACTGAGAATCGAACCCAGTGCCTCACACGTGCTAGGTGAGCATTCTACCACTGAGCCACAACCCCCCAGCCCCCTATAAATATTTTTATGTGGTACTGAGAATTGAACCCAGTGCCTCACACGTGCTAGGTGAGCATTCTACCACTGAGCCACAACCCCCCAGCCCCCTATAAATATTTTTAAAAGTTAAAAAAAAAAAAAAAGAGTCACCCTGACAAGCTGGCAGTGGACAGGTTTGAAGCACTCACCACATTTTGGGGAGTGAAGAAACAACTGGAGAGCCATTTTATCCACCTGGTGCTAGGATCCACACCACTAACTGTTGGTGGTGCAGCCTGGGGCCAGCAGGAAGGCAGAGGCCACAGCACCACTGGGAGCCAGGCAGGGGTGGTGGAGCCTGGCTGGCCCCGACTCACCTGTGCTTGCTGTCCTCTCCATTCCCACGCGCACACTGCCCCCCTCACCCCCGCTCCGACTGCTCTGTGCTGAGGCTGCCTTTCGCGGTCTTGTTCTGCAAGGGGGGGAGAGGGCACGGAAGGGGAGGCTGATGCCAGCGGAGCCATGAGGAGACACAACAGGGACAGAGGAAAGAGTGTGGGAGTCAGGGAGGGCAGAGGCGAGGACAGGGACAGCACATGGAAAAGGAAGAAAAAGCAGAGTCAGTACTGAATGACAAACAGGAGATACCCAGATAGGGCTTTCTGAGGCAAAATGTGACCGTTAAGTAAAAATAAAGAGAATACTGTCAGACCCTATGATCCACCTCTGGAAATATTTTTTAAAAGAAAAATCATAAGCATCCTTCAAAAGTGTTTTGAGGATAGACGTCTCCAGATGTCCTCTTTCTAATACTTTCTGGCCATACTTGGAGATTGAAGACTGTGAGCAGCCAGTGACCACCAGGTGTCAGTGTGACCTCAGCCAGACAAGGCGATCACTGCAGGAAACGTCAGGTGGCAGTGGGTTCCAACCCAATCCTTTCCTGGGGCTCTCCATCCCTATCTTGATACCTTGGAAACAGCCCATTCATGTCCTCATCTTCCACCCTTCCCAGAGAGATGGCCAACAGACCCTCTTTTGGGAAGTGGGGCAGCAGTACCCACTGACTTGTATCATCAGGTTGCTTCTGCAGCAATACAACCTGGAAGAGACTGTGAGTTTCCCCCGAAGCCCTGGAGTCGGTGCCTTTGCTTCCACAGCAGGCCTCCCACCCCTTACCACATGTCAACCTGTGAACTGGGGTTCTAGTAAAGTCCAAGTCAGTTTCACTGAATTTGATCTTTTAATCTCTCTTAATGAATGGACAGCTCCCCCGCCACCTTCCCCACTGCCCCCCACACCACATAGTGCCAGCCCCTATGCCTGAGGTCTCCCTTCAGCATCATGCCTCTCTACCTTCCCAGAGCCAGAAGCAGGCCAGCAGCCCAAGGTGCAGGTGGGAACAAGAATGGATGAGTTCCTCGATGCCTGGGCTTTAAGTTAGGAAACCACCCCAAGCCCCACTGCGAACACAGGCTCTGGGAGCCTCTAACTCACCTTGTGCTTGGGGCACCTCACCGAGAAGTTTTCCTCATGTAGCAAACAATCTGCAAGAAAGAAGGGGACAGATGGAGCCTATGTGCGTTGAAACAGCCAGACCCACATGTGGCCCCTTTCCAGGATCAGCAGTGTTAGACCTGAAAGCAAGAGGCTCCTGCACTGTGATTTCTTTCTGTTTTTTTTTTTTTTGGTTGTTTTGTTTTTTTAGTACTGGGAATTGAACCCAGGGCACTTACCCACTGAGCCACATCCCCAACCCTATTGTTTTGTATTTTATTTTGAAACAAGGTCTTCAGGGTCTTGCTGAGGCTGACTTTGAACTTTCGATTCTCCTG